CTGCGATCACTCATTCAAAAAGAAACAGCTGGAAATGAAAACACATGGACACGCGCGGGGAAATACATCCCTCCTCGACGTCTCTTTCCTATATGCAGCTGTCTGCATCTCTACCAGAAAGCACCAATGACAGATAGAAAAATAATTTAAAAAAAAAGAAACATAAATTACAAAGCAACATTTCTACCAAGGGAAACAACTACCCTGCCGCAGAACGCGTCTTAGCACAACACCTCACAGCCAGGAGCATGGTCCCATGGCAGAAGCTGGCTCCTAAAAATTTATTTCTCTTGCAAAATATAAACAAATAAAACCGGGATTGTCTAAAGCAGGCTGCTGCCCACTTTATTAGTTGCAATAATGACTGCCTACTGCCAAGTGACCTGAGGTTTACAACCACAAACTGTCAAGTGCAAAGCCAATGTTTGCTCTCGTTTCAGCGAACACGTGTGGGATCTGCAGGTCCCGATGCCCTTGCAGGTTCCCCGCAAGCCTGGCTTTGCTCGGCTGCTGTAGGGGGAGCGCTGCAGGCGCGGAGCACAGCCCTGCCTCCTGGTGCAGGTGCCCGCTGCAGGAGGGAAGGGGCTTTTTGGCAGGGGGTGTTGCCGAGAGCAGACCTTCAGATGTGAGGTGTGCGGGCTGCCTCTGCTCCTTCCCGAGCTCCCGCTGAGAAACCCTTCTGCTTGCACAACGCGGGGCAGGTCTGTAAGGCAGATCTCTTCCCACAGCCACACCGCGGGAGCAGGTCGGCCAGTGTGGTTGGGCCTTTGCTTTCACTTCTCCTCTTTGTGCTGCGTCAAGTCCGATCGCGATCTCCCTGAAGATAGCTTCAGATTCGCTCCGTCTTCCCCGGCCCACAAACGTATGCAAACACTCCTCTCACACACCCTCAGCCCCGGCCATGCCTCGCACTCCCTATCAGTGACACTCCTCTCCCATTTTGCTTGCGATAATCTTATCTTTGCTGACCACTCCTTGATTGTGTTTGGGCACAGAACCACCTCGCCCCTCATAAAATTAGCTTGTTGCATGTCCCTAGACCTTGATCCCATTAACCTTTCCAACCTGAGTTACCCTCTGGCTCTTCCTCATCTTTTTCCTCATCCTGCTGCTGATGTTCTTCCAGGCAGTCCTTCCGTTTTATGATCTGATCCCAACAAAAACAGACATAAATATAGTCTTGGATCCATCAAAGCCCAGCCTTTTCTTTCTGACGCCAGCACCATCAGCCACAAATGTTGAAGACCCCAGCCACACCAGGTACTTCTCCCTCTGCCACCACACTTGTCCTTCATTCTGCTTGCTTCTTTGCCACAAAGGTTTGCCCGAGTCCCTCCTTGCACAGCAAGAACCCAGTGCTGAAATACCCTCTGATCTTCCTGGTTCATCATAGCCCAAACCCACAACGGCCACCTCCTCTCAATGCTTCCCTCTCCAAACCTAAAGCCATACTGTGGGCCAAATGCCAACAGCTTGATGCATCTTCCCTTCTTCCTCACATTTCAACAGCGACGTACAGCAATTCCTAATCTCTTCCAACAGGATGAGAGCACGACCGTTATTTCTGCAGGCTTCTGAAATACACTCCTCTCAGCAAATTCCTTCAGTTCCTTTGAAGAAAAGGGCAAAACTTGCCCCGAGCTGCTGGGACCTCAGGCCCCAAGGCTTCCAGTTCTGCAGAAGACACCCTGCCTCTCCAAAGAGGACAGAGCACCTCGCTGCGGGCCATTGCACCCCTCTGGCCACATCACCTTCACCCTGGGGTCCTTGGAAGCCTTGGCACCTCTGGGACCCCACAGTCTCCTCCTGGTCTTGCCATCCCCTCTCCTCCAGCCCCCGACACTGCCCACCTCCCTCCCCTTATCCAGCATGCTGATGCTGAGACTGCTCGAGCAGAGGCATGTTCAACGAGCTGTGTTTTTGTGGAGTGCCTTAAAGCAAAGTCCCACAGCCCTTTTCCCAAAAAAAGGGCTGACCCTGCTGCTCCTTCTTCATCGCCACGTGCACCCAGCCCCTCGGTGCACACGCTGTTGAGGCAGCTCACTGCCTTGGGCTCCTTTATGGTACCCAATTTAAATCTGTTCCCAGGGCTTTTAAATCCCCCTCGCAGCCTTCTTCCAGCTGACACGAGGGGCAATAACCCCCTGTTATCCTCCTGGCTCCCTTCCCACATTGGGCAGTCTGTGGGGTCGATGCCTCCTGCCTGCTCCCTCTGGCCGAAACCACCGCAGCCCAGCTAAGTGCCAGGGCGTTTGTAAAGCTCTCCTTGTCACATCCCGGGGGATCTAATACAAGCAATTAGCTGTCAATTAAAGTAGTGCAAAACCACAAAAGAGACAGTAAAGGGAAAGAAGCCAGAATGTTTGACAGGGGAATGAGGTGCTGCAAATAGGGAACCCCACGGCAATAAACCTGCCGGTGGCTGTCCAGAAGGGCAAGGTGGGCATGGATGTGACAACGGGACAGCAGCTGGGGCTCCGGCCTGGGGTCATCCATGGCCATGCTCGGGTATCAGAAGGCCCAGCCACCCATGTCCCATGTCTCCTCCACCTTTCCAGCCTGTTTCATTCCTCTAGGCCATGAGCCCCAGGGTGTTACATTGCCACCAGCTGCCACCAAAGGTTGGCCTCATCCTGCATTTGCCACTGCAACCCCTCGGGTCCCAGCACCTTTAGCACAACCCTGGAAGCTCTGTGGGGCTTCAAAGTAAGCAGCTGCCCTCGCTCATCACCCCCCCCCTCTGCCACCATCAGGGGGTCACGGAGATGTCCGGGCTTCCTGGGGTGACAGGGGCTCAGCAGCAGCCTCCCAGACCCTCTTTGGGACTTTTGCTTCCTCTCTTCAAGGTGACAAGCGGGCAGCTTCTGGAGGGCTTCAAGCTCCCCTCAGCGGGTGCTCAAAGCAAAGAGGAGATGAGCAGCATTAATCCAGCCAGGGGATATGGAGCAGACGGAACCCTGGCCCCGGGACCATCCTGCTCCTGACCTCCAAAAACCTGCAGTAAGCGAGCCAGCAACAACAAGGAGCCCAGAGCAACGGGAACATGGAGCAGCAAGATGTTTCACAGAAAATAAGCAAGTAACATAAAAAATCATGTTTTATTTCCAGCCTCAGCCCCACAGAAGGCACTTTGAAAACAGCGTGGCACAGTAAGCCCCTAGGAACAAATGTGAGCGGCAGGACTAGGACTCGGAGCCCACTACAACAGGAGGATTGGGGAGTGTTGGAAACACCGCCCTGGCCAGGAGCTGCCCTCGCCTACAGGAGGGTGCTGGGGCTGGTTGATGCCACCCAGCAGCTGGCCCTGATGGGAGGGTGCCAGCAGCTCACGAGCAGCCAGGACACCAACCTTTACAAGGTGTTATCCGCAGCACCAAGGGCTCCTCATGCAAACGAGACCTTTGCTGTATGCCTTGCCCTCCGAGGACCCACCCAGAGCAAAACAGCTTCCCAAACCTGGAAATTCAGTCACGACACTTTTATTTTCTGCCACTTTTCAGGGAGCTGAGAGTGCTGAGAGCTGCAGTCAGGCTGCTGCCTGCCTTGCTACCTCAAAGCAGGGTTTGTGTTTTTAACGTGTATATATATTTTTAAAGCAAACCTTGCAACATGGGAAGAGTGAACAGGTCAGGAAAGGGTGGGAAGTGGCATTGCCTGTCCCTTTATATACATTTGCTCCTAAAAGCAAGAACCTGTCACATGGGTGGCCTGTCCCAGCTCCACCCCAGACAGTACACATCACCCATCCAACGTCGGCGAGGTTACTTTGATAGAGCCTCAACCATCCTTTAATATCCTGCATGGTGCCAGCAAGGGGCTGCATTAAAATGAGATTTATTCCTCTCTATTTAGAAAAAACAAACAAACAAACAAAATATATATATATATAACAACGCACCTCCTGCTTGCGGGGTCACCCTGCCCGTGACACCCTGGTGCCACCCACCACTGAGGGGTCCTGCATGCAGCCCCTGACCAAGCATCCCTGGAGAAACAAATTTACGTTTGGTGGTGGCAGGTTGTGTTTGTTTGCTTGTTTTTTAATCCTTGTAATTTTACAGCCTTAAACAAAGCACTGAGTTTAGCAACGCTTTTACCGCTTCACCCCACCTGAGCCACGGGCATTAGCAGCACAGCCTGAAGGAGGCTGGGGCCACCTTTTTTCACCAGTCCCCTCTGCACCCTCCATACATGCAGCTCTCCATTATCCTGTTTATTACCTGCGGTGATCTCGAGCTCTTCCTCCTGCAGCTCACAGCCAGAACGGGCCATCAAGTCACCCGCTGAGACAGCAGCAGGGACCTTTGGGGATGTGGGACTGGATGGACTGGCTGCCAACGCACTCCTGGCGTGATCGCCCACAAACCCAAAGCATTGTCACTTGGCGATAAATAAAAAACAAACCCATCCTGGGCTATGACGCTTTGCACCCCAGCTTCCCAAAGCTGCACTTAGCTGGGAAGCGCGGACAAAGTCTTCCTCACAGCACTGCTGGCATGCTGCAAACCTCCACCCGTGTTTGATAACACCAGTGGGAAGCACACCCAGGCAAGGGGTCCCCCTCTGCCACAGCTGTTCTCCTGCTGTGCACCCCAAAATTGTGCCTGGCTGCCTCGAACACTGCAAGGCAAAGCAGGGAAGTCCCCCTCCCCGCTGGGGATGTGCCAGCCGGCCCTGCCGTTCACAAAACCACTCTTCTCCCCGCCAAAGCTTTTCAAGCGAATCGGCGTTATTATAGGGCAGTGTTTTCCTTTCGCACCAGGATGTGGTTAATCATTCCCTAAGCGGCGGCACACCATGTCCTGGATGCGACAGGCGAGCCCCACAGCCCACGGCATGCCAAGCCCCTGGTCCTCTGTGGCAGTTATTCGGGACCAAGGACGTGAGATTCATTATCTGCACCTTTGCAATCAGCCTCTGCTTTACCAGCAGCTTGCACCAGGGCTGCTCTCGGGGCCAGCCTCCTCCTCCCGCATCGCCGCTGGAGCACCGCTCCTTACCTTGATGTTGCAGAAGATACCGCGGGAGCAGGTGCTGGAGCTTTTGGGGACGTTGACCGGGGACTTGCTGGCTTCAGGGTGGACTCCCATGGTGTGCTGGCCTCCCTGGGCTCCCCGAGGAGCTGGGACTCTGTGTGCAGGCTCCCGAGACGGTGAGCGCTCGCCAGCGCCGTCCCGCTGTGTCCCGTCCCGCTCCGAAAACCCTGCGAGCCCGCGAGTGAGCCAGGCAGCGTGAGCGCAAAGTTTTTATAAGTCTGCTCTCGGGAGTGATGATGAAACCCTTTCTCCTCCCTCTTTTCCTTTGGGTGTAGAGGGAACTTTAAAGCTGCAGGAAGCCAACGTGAGCGTGCAGCAAGCTGCTGGGCGCCCACCGGATCTGGGCTTTTTGGGGATGAGGACTGTGGTGAGAAATCCCTCCCTTTGGCAAGGAGTCACAGAGGAAAAAACAAACAACACACACATACACACAAAAGCCTCCAAACTCCTCCTGCTTCTCTCTCGTGGAAAAAACTGCATTTGTGTGGTTCCTGGGTGCTGTTTTAAGTAATACCTCTCTGGGGCTTTGTTTATGCAAAGCACTGATTTATTACCATGAGGGAGAAAAAGTGTCAGAGGGAGAAGGGCTGGGGGAAGCCAACTTCTAGCACTCTGTCAAAATTATCTTCTTTCCTCATATGAAGCGGGGAGGTGGGAGAGAGAGCTGGAGGACCCCCTGGGAAATGGGGTGGCCTGAGCCTGGAGAACCCAAACCTCACCTCCCTGAATAGTTTCTCTGCTGTGGGAGTACTGGTGGGTCCCGGGGAGGAGGTCCCCACCGAGCACGGGGTCCCACTTGCACCCCAAGGTTCTGCTTGGGGGGGGGGGTGGCTAGAGTAGAGCAGTGCCAGGGTGGGGGGTAGCACTTCCTCTACGATGTGGATTCCCCAAAACCCACGGGATCTTTGGCAAAGGAGGGCAGAGATGCCGAGGAGCTGGGTGAAGGGGCCCTGCTGGCACCCAGCTGCCACCAACGGGTGGCTGCTCACCACGAGAGGGTGCCTTGCGCCCATGGGAGAGGGACCCGCGTGCTCCCCTCTGCTCTTGGGGCACAGAACCAGTCCCACCAGCCCTGGGGCTTCAGAGCGGTGCAAAAACCCACATGGCCAAGGGAAAATGAGCTGCTTTTGGGTGTCTGCTTCCTGATGGCTGGAGAGCACCATGTACAGGGACAAGCAGACAGTCCCTACCTGCAGCTGGCAAAACAAGCATCCTTTTTTCCAATCTTTTTTTCTCCACTTTTGCTATTCCGATCCCCAGATTTGCTGGGTTTAGGGTCAAGATGCAATGCCAAGCCCTGCTACCCACCTCTCAGCCCTAAGAGTTGTGATGGCACTGAAATGTTGACCTTGCTGATAGGAAAGCTCAGCTCAAGAATGCAGCCAGCTCCTCCGCTCACCCCCCTTGAGCCCTATATGCTGCTGATCCCATTTTTCAGGGAACTCCGAACCTGCTGGTGAGCAGCTCCGTCGTTTCCGTTTATTCTGCAGGACTGTGACGCTCGCTTTGTTATAACAACCACCTCCAGCAGCAGCTGCTGCCACTTTTCCCTGTAAAATCGCCTCTGCACAGCGAAGCAGTATGTGGGGCTAGCATCCCCATGTCGTGACCCCCACCAGAGGCAGCAAAACGCCCACTCCACACACTGCCTTGGTCCATTCCCACAGAAATAAGCTTCCAGTGAGCTTTTTCCCAAGCAATGAGCATTGCCCAAGACTTGGCAGCTTATCTAGATACAGTGAATAAGACAAGCAAAGCTGGCAAATCTAAACTGAAAAGGCCAATTGTGGAGGTTTCAGCTATTAGAGGCATGCATGTCTTGAGGACTTTGTCTTGCAGCCGAAGCCCTGAGCCAGCTCTGCTCTAACAAGGTGCTGGAATGGGGTTCCCAGCCCAAAGGGATTGTTTCTGCGCTTAAAAACACAACTGAAGTGTGAATTCACATGATTGACTTTTGCGCTTCATTTATACGAGGTGTTTACCCATTAAACATATATTTATAGCTTACATGGAAGCATGCGGCATCTTTCCTAGTGTCCCCAAAACTGCATGGGACGCTGGGTCAGCCCATGCCAAGCCCATCCAGCTGGTACCACCACAGAGCATCACCACATCTCCAGCCTTCATCCTGCTGCAAGAGAAATCCCAGCCCACAGACACTAATTTAGCTCCTGTAGGCACAGCTCTCTTCCTTCAACACGGCTTGTAAATGATGGACCTCTGACAACAGATGGTGCAACAGAGGTGAGAAAAGGAGACGGGCACAAGAAAATAGGGCTCTTGCCTCTTTTTGAGGCTTCTCTGCTGCATTTTAGTTCTTCCAGTGCTACAGCCTTGGCAAGAAGTTTTTCGGCCTGCAAATGAGTGCACAGAAGGAAAGTGATTTATGGTGCTGAGAAGGGGAGGGGAGCTTGGTTTCAAATTCGTGGTGCTTTGTTAGGCGTTACCGCCGACGCTCAGTGCCTGGCAGGAGAAATCGCACATTGATGGGGTTTGGTTCATTTTACACGGCTCCTGGGGCCGCCTTTCCTCCTTGGCCTTTGAAACAAGTTCCCAGTGCCAGAGGAGCGCGTGGGCCCGGCCAAGACATCGGCTGCCGCCGGCCGGCGCGGGGCTGCTTTTCATCGCCGCAGTGATGGATGGCAGCAGCAAACCACAAGGTCGGTCCCTTGCCCAGCTGGGAAGGCCACCACGGATCTGGGGAGACACCAGCAGCAGGGTGTTAATGGCAACCCCAGCTCAGAGGCCTTGGGTCCACTTGGCGGTGTGAGGTCTTCTCGTGCCGCAGCCACGTGGCTCCTCGTACCTCTCCCTGCAGGGTGTCCCTGACCTGCAGGGCCCAAGCTCTACAGCTCCTTCATCCTTCAGGAGATGAAGATCCCCTCTCCCTCATCCATAAGCTGCTGACTGATACACACCCCTCAAGCACATCTCTCGCATGGCAGGCCAAATTTACTGCATCTTAGGAGCTGAGGCAGGTCCCTCTTCACTCCCGAGGGATGCTCACCTCGCTTGCAGAACATCGGAGCCCTCAAGAGCTATGTTACTTCTGCTGGAAAGGAGACTTGGTCAAACTCTTTCACCATGACCACAGCTTTTCTCTTTCCCTGCATCAAACACCTTATTTCTTTCCACCAGGCCTGGGCTGTTGCTTTCATGGGGTGAGGCCCACACTGTCTTCCTGTCTTTCTGCTTTTCTATCCAGCAGGAACCGAAATCTGAAGTCCACATATCAGTGTTCCTCCATGGTTTTCCCAACCTATTCTTCTCAATGATCCTTTGCCCACTGGGCTTTAAAAGGCAACAGTGCCTTCACACACAGGCACGTACACAACTCAGCAGGAAAGATCGCGCTGACCTCTAGAAAAAGCTTTTGCTAAAAGAGGAGATTCTGCTCTTTATTCTCTCTGAGGGAGCAGTCTCCATCCCAGCTTGGAAGATGGTCCCTTGAAGGTGCAGTGGGATGGTCCCTGCTAGAGGAAGCTCGACCAGCAGATCTTTCTTAAAGGTGGGCATTTCGTTCCCAGCAACCTCCCCTACGAGGACTCAGCGACTCAGTTGTTCCCCCAGATCCAAAGATGTGGATCCAGAAGACTCAGCAGCTTCCCAAACCCCCTTGGTGGGTTTCATGTGATCCAACAGCAAGAGCAAAGCCTGTAGACTTGCCTCTACACAGCCCCCAGCCTGGGACACTGCATTAAACCACAAGTTGGAGAAGGGGCCGGACATCAGCAACTGGCTGGGGGGTATGGCTCAGCCACCTTCTGAGCCCCGCACACTCCCAGCAGACAAGATGTGGCCACAAAACCCTCCTTGCTCCTCACCTGAAGCTACAGCCCGTGCCCTGGCTCGTCGCAGTGACAGCATCTTGCTGCAGACCTCAGCAGCGGGAGGAGACGCGGAGATGGACAGGCGCTGCGGGAGACACATCATGTTGGGAAGCCCTCAGGAGGCTCTGCGAGAGAGAGGAAGGAACAAAAGCAGGATTAGGGCTCTGCTTAAGGCTCACAAAGCAAGCAGTCCTCGAGGTTATCACCCAAGACGTGCTGGGTCTCCTGCTTTGTGGGTGGTGCAGTTGCAAAAGCAGGCTTAGGAACGGAGCAAAAGGCAGTCCCTGTATTTATTCAGGAACATTGCACAGCTCAAAACCAAACTTCCTGGAGCTGCATGACCCCCAGTTTTCTTGCTACACCTGAGTACCAGGGCAGTGCAAGCCGCTGCAAAAACAAACGTAAAGCCCCCAGGCTCCAAGAAGGTTTTAGACTTGCAAGTACAAGCATTGCTCTGGGAACACGGATTAAGAACCACCGCTCCCAGACCCAGTGCCCGGGGCTGCAGGCCAGCATGCCCCGTGCAAGCCCCTGCAGACCCAGGGCTGATGGTATGGGGTGGGGAGGACAGTCCTCCTCTGATGGGGATGGGTGGGAGAGCAGAAATCCCCCCCCTGCCCTGCAGCCGGTGCACACCAGTTGTTTCACTGGAAATTACAGACCGTGACAGGCTGGGTTTAATTTGCCAGCAATGTATGCTTGATCTGGAGCAGAAATACTGGTCGGAGGGAGGTGGATGGCCATACCTGAAGAACAGGCTCGGCTGACGTGAGCACCCCGACAGGTGCCCACCCTGCGGACACCGCCCGGGGACTGGGAGCGAGGCCAAGGCTGGGTGAAGGAGGAGGTGGCAGGAGCTGAGGTGCCAGCACCAAGGCATCCCTCCCTTCCAAGGGCTGGCTGCCCCAGTCTGCTGCCCCAAAGCAGAGGACATTCATCCGTGCTGGTGAATGGCTGATGTGCACGAAGCAGCTCCACTCTGCTCTCCATCCCTTACACAAACCCGGTCAGTCGGGCAGGACACCTGCAGGGCAGTGGCAGAAGTCAGGTGCCTTATGCTGCAGGTCTTCAGCAGCCCCTTTTTTTTTTTCCTCTGCCTCCTCTGTTTCGAGGAGCCTGGTTTACAATTGGGCCCCTTGGGTTTCCCCACCAGCTGAGTCCCTGCTGGAATATACCAAAGGCTCGTTGGTCAGACCTGGAGAAGACCCGCTGCATGGGTTATTT